TATATGTGGTAGAATTATGAAATGAGCAATTGGAAAACAGGTAAAAACAATGTGAGTATTCATTTTCGATTTTGATAATCAGCAATAATTCGAAAATAACATAATTCTTCCTTATTTTTATCATAGATCTGAATATCGTGTTGTTGCATAAATGTACTTGTCTTAAATTTTTCTACAATTTCATTTCGATCGCGAATTCCAATACAGCGAGGAGAAAAACCGATATGGAGTTTTATATGTTCCACCTGTCCGTCAACAGAGGATAATAAATTTGTCCAATAAGAAGGATCCAAATATTGAGCACTAAAATGTGCTCCAACCAGATGTAAATATTGAAGACTGGATGCTGTTTTAAATAAATGTTTTGCAAAACTGGTTACAAATCCCCAGGTGCAGATTATTTTTAGCTTGACTAAGCTTGGCATTAACGGAACATCGAATAGTTCACCCTCTGTAGAATATCTATAACAAAGACTAATCTGTAAATATCGAATTTTCGGCAAATGACAAATTAGATCACGTAACGAATCAATATTCAGTGAAGTAGACAAACGTTCAATATTTGATGTAGCGGTTGTTAATGGTAATTTTGTTATATGTGTTAAGGTTCTGAAAATAAATGTTTTTAACGTTTGTATTTTTAGTATTGTGTCAATGAGGACATTTGCACGTCGTCTGCTATTATCAATATTTAGGTAAGTTAAATGAGGAGTTACCTTCAATATCGGTATCATATCTTTGGAATCCATTCCAACGAGAGTTAAAACTGTTAAGGATCGAAAATGTGTCAATTTAGTGAGAATTAAGTGACGCCTATCGACAGGAGCAGATAATTTCAGAGAAAAAAATTGTTTTGGATAATCGAACAATGTTGGTTCAATAAATTCAAAGAAATAATTAAATGAAATGCTTTCTGATAGATCAACATATAGTGGTTGAAAATAAGTGTCAATTGTGTGCTTCATCTGTGAAGTTAAAGTGTAGAATGATTGATACAATTCGTTGACATTAACGTATTCAAATAGTTCATACACAATATCAGTACACAAATCATTGAATGTTGTTGTTGGTTTAGAATCTGTGAATGGAGAAAGAGTACAAAATTCCGCAACATATTTACCAACTATGCTTTTCGAATGATAATATACCTTCTTGCGCGTGTTTGAATCGTTTTTGTCCTAATTCATCATCTGAATGTGATTCACGTAGTTTGAATTTTTGACCTAATAAGTGTAATAAATCAGCTCATAAATGTTGATAATGAACTAGGGTATGCTTTATAGACAGATCGGAATAATCATCTCGATCTGTCTATAGAGTTTATCTTAAACATGGTTCATATCCCAAGCGGAATATCCTATTTGGATCATCAGTGAATCAAATCGAACTATATTACCATATTGAAAAAACTGTCTAACGAAGAGAGCCAGCCCTTCACTTATTTAGTAGCTTTTTCCTTGAAAAATACTTGATTATTGGTATTGTTTAATGCTGATCACGATTTGACGTTCATTTGGGTCCATATGGGCTTTTAAAATGAAGCTCGGAAAGAGCGGTCCTCGGAGATCCATCTTAAAATCTAAGTTGGAGAGGTTCTGATCTGTCAGTCTTGTAGAGCATATCGAGTTACCGCTATGGAATCATGTTCAGGCCTAAAAGTTATGACCGGGTTGAAGGCGTTTTAAATTCCAATTTATTTGCAAAAGCCTCGAGTTTTTACCTTATTTGAAGAATAAAATTTAAAACCTCGTCATCCTGGTTATTAATATGGGTTTTCAGCTATTTCTTTTTCCAAACGCAATTTCAAAAGCCCATATGGATCCAGGTGGACATCAGATTCATGATCAGTATCAAATAATATCAGTAAACAAGTATGTCTCAAGGAAAAAGCTAGTGAACACTTGATGAGATTCCAGCGCAAGGTGTATGGTCACCCAATGACTACGCGAATAAAACTTTAAAGTCTCAAGTAGTAAATTCTGGTAATAATGTGTCAAGTAATTATCCTAGAATATTAAAGTTTTTCTCATCTACAATCTCATACCTCTTGAGAAAGCAAAGGAAAATTTCAAGCTCTCTTCTGTACTGTCACCTTCCAGTAAAATCTAAATCAGTTTTTGATCCTCTTTTGAATGGCACTTTCTGTTTTTTTAAAGGAATAGCATGCAGCATACCGAAAAATGATCCGATGGTTTTATAGATCGATCGCGTGTTGCAAAAATATACCGATCGGGGATTCATAGCGCAGCCGAGATATCAGTCATAAGACTATACTGACAGAATATTGTCTGACTAACCTTGATTCATTATTGATACTAGATGATTACTTGGTTGACATAGTGCACACTGACCATTATTACAGTTTGTCCAATGCAAGAGTATTAGGCGCGAAGATGCGCAATGACTAACTAAAAACAGAAAATGAGATAAATACACCTGAAGTTCTACAGTAAAACAATATCACAAATAGATTATCTAAGTTTACAGTTTTTGCTACCTGTTAGTTTTATGAAAAACTAACCCGAGCAATTTTTGACATTTTCACATTTTTTCATATGTTGTAACAGGTCTTTCACTTTACTACAATGAATTAATGCACAAGTACTCGAACTTTGTTCAGCCGTCTGATCTTGTTTTTCGTGATATAAACAGTTCTGTGCATGTAACAGTATAGCAAGATACTTTTGAATGTATTTACGTCTTGTTACGTTACAGTTTTCTTCCTGAAGACTTAATAGAATAGAATTTATGGGTTCTGTTGTTATTTCATGAATTATTTGATTGAATATGCTGTAGTTATTTTGCATTATTCTACTTGATAATATGACGCCGTTAGAACTGATCACATTCCCGATTGTATTATGATAATTTGCGTTTGTATACACAATGAATAAATTTCAGTTTATCGCCACTAAATATTTCTCCGAAGATAAAAAGACTTTTAGTTTAGTGAAGCACTATTTACGGGAGTGCCAAGTATATTAAAATCAAAGACCAGTTATAAAAACAAATTTTCGACATTTAGAGTACTTAACTATAGAAATATCGTTAGTGAAATGTATGCTTTTAATCCGAATAACATGCACGTCATTTATGATACAGTTGTTCTCTTTACACAATCAACTAAGTGTTTTAAAATGGCATCACTCACCTCTCCTAGCCTTCTATTTATGTCACTTGATTTTTACTTAGGCAGCGCTATTTGTTACTGTTCATAGGCTACACAAATATGTCATATCTAAATTCAGTTCTCATATCGTTTATATAGTACCTTGATGATGTTTTCTATGATTATTATGCCTTTTTTCTTTTTCTTTTTCGAGTTTCTATCACTTCCTAATTAAAAAGATATTTTTTATTTCATCGTAATAACAAACCTTCATTCGAACATTTTACCATTCTGTTCCGTAAAATTTTTGAATAACTCTATCGCACTTTCTATGAAAGAAAGAAAATAACACATGTATTTGTAAAAGACTTACACGTGGAAAAATACTAACTATTAGCCTATATTATTATAAAACAAAGTAATATAGAAAACATTCGTACAGGTGAAAAGTTTCTCCGCTTCTTCTGTTACTTTTATAAAGACCAATTTTGAAAACAACAGAGAGGCTATAGTTCCTACTTTTATGAAAAGTACATCCCGGATACAAAACGTAATTAGAAGTCATCGTTATTGTATACCATTTGATGATACTAAAATTTAATATAAATCATGATTTCATACCTATTCAGGCGCTAATTAGTACTAATTATTATTGACTTTAAGCAAGATGATTCCTTTCAGTTTATTTCTGAAATCAACCGTTGAATGGAGAGAATCGTGAAATACAGCACTCAAAAGAACTTTCCAAAGATGTATTAACCTCTTCTTTTTTAAACTCTTATCCAAGGGATAAAGCTGTCCGTTTTTATAATCTGCTACCTTTTTGTACGGAATTTTAGTACTGTCTACCCATTAAAACCATCAAATCCATTATTTTCCGAAGAAGTTGGTAAACAAACCGCAAGTCACTGTTACAGCACTGTCCAAGGACTGGACAACAGGAATTTTTTCAATTCCCCAAAATATCAAAAAAAATATATATAAATCCTAGAGGAATTAAGGAAACCTCCTCATGCACTTCACCGTTCCTCCACAATTCGCTCAGCAATAAGTGCAAAACTTCCGAATCTACTATGAACATATCGCCAACATTCCTTCAGTAATTCGTGCTCAATTCCTTACACCCTTTTAATGAATTGATCTCATGATAATATCCTGCAAAGGTAACCGCACAAGTGACGAGCACCGACACTCAATTCCACGCTAGGGAACTGATAACTTGAATACACAGCATGTCTATAGAACAAAACCACTAAAAGTTCGTCCGGGAATTGAAGATTACAAAGCATGGACTTGTAAAATATCCTCTTGGAAAAACAAAATGGAGAGGAACCGAGGAATTGAGTCAGTCCTGCCACCTGTTCTCCAGTTCCTACTGAGTAACTAGAAGAAACCTAATATCAGTTTCTTGAGGGAACTGACAGAACTGGACACATACAAAGCGTGTGCTTGGGAAACATTGTATTGAAAAGAAAAAAAAGAGAGCAATTGAGTCAGTTCTACAAAGTATATTAGGTTCTTTGTTGGTACTCAGTAGGAACTGGAGAAAAGGTAGCAGAACTGACTCAATTCCTCTGCATTTTTTTCTTTTCGATACGATGTTTCTCAAGCACACGCGTTGTATATACTCAGTTCTGTCAGTTCCCCCCCGAGGAACTGATATTAGATTTTTTCTAGGTACTCAGGAGGAACTGGAGAACAGGTAGCAGAACTCAATTTCTCGGTTCCTCTCCGTTTTGTTTTTCCAAGAGGATATTTTACAACTGCACGCTTGGTAACCTTCAATTCAAAAAAAATGGGGAGCAATTGAGTCAGTTCTGCTACTTGTTCTCCAGTTCCTACTGAGTACCTACAACGAACCTAATATATCTAGCAGAACTGACTGAATTCCTCGATTTCTCTCCTTTTTTTCTTTTCAATATCATATATCTCAAGCACACGCTTTGTATATGCTATGTTCTGTCAGTTCCTCCAAGGTACTCAGTAGGAACTGGAGAACAGGTAGCAGCACTGACTCAATTCCTCTCCATTTTTGTCTTTTCGATACGATGTTTCTCAAGCACACGCGTTGTATATGCTCAGTTCTGTCAGTTCCTCCAAGGAACTGATATTAGGTTCCTTCGAGGTACTCAGTAGGAACTGGAGAACAAGTAGCAGAACTGACTCAATTGCTCTCGATTTTTTTGAATTAAAGGTTACAAAGCGTGCACTTATAAAATACCCTTGGAAAAACAAAACGGAGAGGAACCGAGGAATTGAGTTCTGCTACCTGTTCTCCAGTTCCTCCTGAGTACCTAGAAAAAATCTAATATCAGTTCCTCGGGGGAACTGACAGAACTGAGTATATACAAAGCGTGTGCTTGAGATATATCGTATTGGAAAGAAAAAAATGCAGAGGAATTGAGTCAGTTCTGCTACCTTTTCTCCAGTTCCTACTGACAAGCTAGAAGGAACCTTGTGTCAGTTCCTTGGGGGATTTGCAGAACTGACCATATACAAAGCGTGTACTTGAGAAACATCGTATTGAAAAGAAAAAAGTGGAGAGGAATCGAGATTGATGATTCCAGGTACTCAGGAGGAACTGGAGAACAAGTAGCAGAATTTACTCAATTCCTCTGCCTTTTTTTCTTTTCAACACGCTGTTTCTCATGCACGATAAATAATATAAATATCATAACCAAAATACCACCAATTTTTCATTTTGAAACCCTATCTAGCCTTTTGTGTTAAGAAATATAGCCTTCGTTTGTCCTTCATCGAAACCACCAAACTGCCAGGAACAAAGTGACGTATGATTTTGAAAATCATTTTCAGGATCTTCAGGGTCACTGTGAAAAAATATCACATCTAAAAAAATATATTTTTTCAGATTTTCTTCTCTAATTCACGACCACAGACACTTCATCAGGTCGCATAAGCCCTGAGTGGCGCTAGTTTATCGGTATGCAACGAACTATTAGATCTCTAAGCTGTCAACCACCAATAAATAACTCATTGTTTTGAAAAATCTAAGCACCAGATATCAAAACTTCTCAGATAGTAAGTGCATAAAAATAGAGTTTTCTATGCATCTGTAATCCATCTTTCGCACTTTATCGCCTGAGTTTCTCTACTTTTTTCGCTCTTTCTCAGCCATTTTTTTTCCTATTTCCATACAACACCCCTTGCTTTACGCGCAGAAATTTATGCACTTGGAAACGGCTATATCTTAAGCTTTAAAAAGTATTGAAACAGAAAGGATATTATTCTCAAAAATCTCTGACAGCTTCTCAATCTACTTCAGCTTTACTTTTTAAAATCTCCAGCAATACCGATAAACTCATTTTCTAAACATATTTTTCTGTTTGTGCGACTTGATGAACTCTCAGTATAATCTTTTACATGGCTTTGCAGAGCAACTCTTCCTCTTTCGGATGAGGCCTGAACCGGCCATAACGATTTGATAGTTTTGGAGAAAATTGGACTATCATAGAAAAATCACTACTTTTATCGCTTTTTCGAGAGCAATAAAAGTTTATGGGTACCCAGTTTTTGAATAATGCATTTTCAAAAGCTGCCATTAGGGACTTTTTCAGCTTTTTTTCTAGTTTAATTTTTCTAGCTGGATAACAAAACACGAAAAATAAATTTCGCCTCGGATCACCATAGGCGGTAATTCTTAAAATGACAAAGAAATCTGGGTAGTGCCGACAACTACTCTTTGACCATTGTTTTATGATTAAGACCTTGGATTTTAGTTTCTTTTTATTCAAGGCCTTAATTCATCATATGCAGCTTGTTAGCTGTTCTTGAAAATTCTTGGGTTGATCTTAAAATATAGCTGAAAGTTGGCACTATAACCAACGGAACCTCTCCTCACCCGAATATTTGAGGAATTTTGCACCACCTCCGAGGTTCGATCCCTCAGTGTATATCAAAGACATTACGCCTCAAACATCCCACAAGATAGACGCCCCTGACGATAATGTAACAGAGTCGGATTTTTAACCTTAGACTTAGGCTCTGAGAAAAGCAAAACGTTTCCAAAAACTCTAAAAAAAATAACTGTTTTTTCGGAAACTATCCATTCAAAAACTAAGCCGAAGACCAAAAATCGGGCTCTGCTCGGCTATAGTACCAACGTTTAGCTATATTTATGGCTGACCCGAGAATTCTGGCACACCTTTGGCTGATACCTACTTTTTAAAAACCAAACACA